GGAGAAGAGGAGGGAGAAGAGGAGGGAAAGGAGGAGGAGGAAAGACCAAAGCTCAGCAGCCAGTGTGGTGGTTTAACCCAGAAACAGAGAGGAATCTGTTCCAGAAGGCAGCAAAATGTCTCTGGGCTATTTTAAGTATAGATCAGTGGATAACATCAAGCTTCCCAAAACTGCAGCCAGGTTTTTACAAGAGCAAGCTTTCCTCAAAAGCATCCAACTATTATTTTCTTCCAAAGATGATGGAGTGAAAGCCCACTCCCCTACCCTCACCATAACCAATGACAGTTAAATTGTTTGTACTTACGCTTTAAATGCTGGGAGGTAGGAGTATATTGAGATGCTGCTCAGGTTATACACAAATGGCAGGTGTTTTGTGATATCTGTAGTTGCCCAGCCACTAAAATATGTATTCAGTAGGCCCTGGTCCCCACCTGAAAGGAAACACACAAACAGAATTATGGTTTATAAACCTCTAAGGCAATTCAGGAATTGTATGGAAATATATGGGTAGCTTAAAACATATACTAATTCTGTTTTAAGTATTAAATTTCAAGTCATACATGGTCACTGTCTTCCCAAGGGTCTAATGTGATAGCCAATGCAGATTCTAACAAGTCAAAGTCAATAAAAATGATCACAGTTGGGTGAGTTTACAGAAGCACAAAGGACAAATGTTAGAGGGATTCATGGGAATGGCTTGGAGGAGGTTTCCCAGGCAGATCTATGCTTGAGCTAAGACCTGAGGTCTACTGAGGAGCACCTGACAAATTCAGGAGACATGAGCTAAGACGGGATCTGGACAGAGTAGAAACAGCACACACACGGCACACCGTAGCCAGTACAGTGGCAAACCGTCAGGGGTGTGCTGCTGACCTGGTACAAGTACTAGTCAGTCATGTCTATGGCTAAGGTTATCCATGAAGAAGTAAAGTTCCCTTAGGGCCCGGACTCCATGTCTTTCTTGGAAAGTGAAGACATACTATTCATTTTACAGGAAAATAAGCTGGGTATGGTGGCTTTTGCCGGTACTCTCAGCTCTTTGCCTACAGTTCCCCAATTGGGGAAGCTAAGGTAGAAGCATTGCTATGAGCTTAAGGTCTATCTGCCTGGGCTACACAGGGAATTCCTGGCCAGTCTAGGCTATTGAGTGAGATCCTGCCTCAAAAACAAACTGAAAGAAAGCAGGAAAGGCAAGCAAACAAACAAACAACTCTAAAGAGCTAAACACCTGACCTAAGTCCTAAATAAACATTTAAGAAACAGGAGTTTTCTATTTTAGCCTCTGAGAGTTCAGAAAACACACTTGAGTCAGAATCTTGAGTAGACACATGGAGTGCGTGGGGTGGGGGGAGACATAGTGTGTGTGTGTGTGTGTGTGTGAGACACAGGAGACACATGGGGCCTATGTGTGTAGTATGGAGAGACACATAGGCTACTGCGTGTGTAGTGAGGTGATGGAGAAAATGAGTATACTTTAAGCATGAGACTAACACCCACATATTCAATCCTGTCTTGGGTCTGCTTTGTGTCAATATCTGGCATTCTTTTTCACCATTCAAAAAGTACAATCAATAGTCTATCTGTGCTATTTGGTTTCCTTTGGGCCAGAAGATTTCAAAACTATGGATATTTGAGTAACTTTAAGAAAAATAGTAAGACTGGAGCTTTGTATTTAATATCCAAATGTGCCTGGTCCCTACTGCATATATCCTATTCTTTCCAAGTACCATCCATCCAACTGACAGATGAATGGCATTCATGGAGTGAACATCTATGGAGAAAGCCTTCTGTTTGAGGAGCCTCTGACAGGTGGCAATTCCTCAATGAACAACTGAAATGAAAATCAGAAAAGGAATAAAATATGCTTCACTTTTACAAAGATACAATAAAGTGACTGGTTATGATCCCCAAATGTAAACACTGAAATGCTAATCTTCAAGAGGAGATTAGATCCAAGACTGCATTTGTGTAATAACTAAGTGGTCTAGGAGGCTCTTCACCCCCCCTCCATGATCTCAGGTTATAGCAAAAAGATGGTGTGGGAGAGCAAATGATAGCTTTCTATAGACAATATGCCTTCGTCTTGACCTTGGCCTTCCTAGTCTCTACAACTAATAAATAAATCTCTGGATGCAATAGCATCCATAAACTCTACATTGAAAGATCAATACAAAAGATTGTCTTATCCATATAGATTAACATATATTCTGAGGCATAAGATAGTAAAACTCAAACACTACACCATTCTGAGATTTACTTTGGTTTTCCTAAAGATCATCAGTATGAATGATACAGATACTAACGGCCAGGGACAGGGGTCTACAGTCTTACTAATTTTCTTTTCTACATAATTATCAAAACAAAGACTGGGGAAATGGTCATAACAGCTTTTTTTTTTTAATTAAAGGGCAGAAGTAGAAATAACCCAAATGTCATTCAACAAGTACATAAATATAACCATAATTAGAAAGTCACTCAGAACAAAGGAGAAAACTGCTGATGCATAGGACTCGGATCAATCTCAAGAGAAACACTGCTGAGTAAAAACCAGAATGATTCCATTTATATAAACTCCTTGGAATGATAAAACCATAGAGGACATACTTGTGACTGCCAAGAACAGGAGAGAGAAGACAGGAAACTGTGGCTGTAAAGTGTATCATGAGGGGCCCTGTTCTGATCTTGACTCTGGTAGTAGTCACAGCAAAGTATACATGTAATAAAACGGTGTAGATCACATCCATACAGACAGACAAATCAGTGCATAAATAAAACTGATGAAATCAGAATAATCTTGGTGGACTGAATCAATGTGAAATTTCTTATTTATGTATTATACCATAGGTTGTTGCCACTGAGATTGGTGGATGAGGGATATAAAGAATCTCTATTATTTCTTATAGCAGCACGTGAATCTACAATTCACTCAAAATAAAAAATAATGCAGAGTAAAATATAAAAACATTAAAGTTAAAAAGGGTCAATGTAATTAAAATGCAAAATACAGTAAGAAACTGTTGATCATTTTGGTTTTAAATTACACAAGGACAAAGATTTTTGGCTCTATTTTGCTGATCATTGTCATCCCCCTAGATAACAGAATGTCATAAATATAGAAAAAACTATTTCCTGTTCATGAATAAATGCAAAAATCTTCAAGATATTCAAGAACCTCCACCGCAGAGAAGCTAAAATAACATCATGCCATGGAGTAAATGAACATATTAATCATTTATAGTTACTATTATGCCATTAAAACCAACATAAAGACCATCTGTCCACTGTGTATTATAAAGATACATAGCTGCATACATGAATATAAAATGTAAGAATAAAAATGAAAGTAACACTATATGAGAGGATTGGTGCTATAGATGTTTCTCTCTAATTTTTCCTTATTTTATTTTTGTAATTCAAAAGTATGAATACAAAAAGGCAGGAATGAGAATTGTCCTAAGACCGTCCTAAGCATTCTTTATGTGTTTTTGTTATCTACAGAAAGTATACATGTAGATGATAAAACATATTAACACAACTCTACACATCCAGTTTTGGAGTATGGATGGATGGAATGCTGTGCTCCGTATTCTCTGTGAGGGCACACCCATTCCATGTCATTGAACCTCCCCCCACCCCTGTGGGTAACAATTAAGTTATATAATCATAAATAAAATTCACAATTGTCTTACTACATATGTATCTCCAGACAATATAAGCAGTAGCTCTTATTTTGATTTTTAGAAAACCACTTACTTGTCTGGAGCACTGGTTTTGTTTGTTGGCAGACCTAGGGATGGAAGCCAGAACTTTGTGCTTGCCAGAAAAACACTCTAACACTGAGCTACATCCTCAGTCCTTCTATTATCTTTTTATGGAACATTATGAGACCTTCAAAAAATGCTTAAAATGAATATTAGCTATGTATATAAATTATCAACAAAAACTGAATCCCACAGAGGCCTGACTAGAACTTCTCATGTGCAAGTCTGAGCAACGTGAGCTTGGGAATGACAAGTCAGAGCTGCTGGTCTTGTGCACCACAAGCTGCTAGCCTCTGGTCACAGTGGCTGTTTCTGCTTACAGTAAGGTTCCCTGCAAACATTCTAGCTCATTAGCTGAGTGAAGACTGAGGAGCCCTGAGGCACCAGGAACAGTAAGGACAAGAGGCAATCGAGTTGCCTTGGTGAACCAGGGGTGTGTCTACATCACACTAGCAAACCTGAAATGCTCAGTAAGTACTATGACTACTGACTCCATCATATGACTGACTACAACATGCCACTGTTTATCCCAAAACAGTGACGTGAAAACGGAATTAAGTGCTAACCAGTGCTTTCACAGGGTCCCATGTAGGCCAGGCTGGCCTTGAACTTTCTTTGTAGCCAAGGAAACCTTAGAGTTCTGTTTTCCCTGACTCTACCTGGAAAGTACTGTGGTTTGAGGTGTGTGGCACCACACTTGCCTTCAGGCAACACTTTTACTTAAGTAGTCTGGAGATCCCAGTCATCTTTTTTTCAAACACATAGTTTAACATTCCAGTAAAGCATAAACTTTAGAAAGCTCTATATGTGTCAGTAAGACTGCCTTTTTTTCCTTTGAAATATTGTTTAGATCTGAAAAATATTGTTTTAGAAATATCAAGATCACTATTCAAAGCAGAGTGTGCATACAGATACATCTATATCCCAAAACACACAAAGATGCAAAGAAGATTGCTCAATTTCTTCTACCAAAAAAATAATAATCCAGGATTTTGTCCAGTACTTTTTAGTCAGATTTAGCGGCATCTTGATTTAATCTTTCAGGTTAAGGAACTTTGAATCTCAGTCATCTCAGACCTGAAAGACATGATTAGCAGTGATCACCAGCAGGATGATCCGATAAGCTGGAGTAAGGGAGCCTAGATGAGGCAGAGATCGAGAAAATGAAACAAGGGACATATGGCTCCAGTTTTGCAACAAAAACAAATACACAATCTGTATCATCCTTCCACTAGGCTGCCCAAAGCTGCTAGTTTATAGCCCCTTAACACTTTTAAGTCTGGTCATGAGCCTGGTAACTACAGACACATCCTAGGAAGATATTGGTTCTCTTTGTTCTATACACAGGGAATACTGCCTCTGAAATTTGTACATGTGCTGAACATTGTCTAGTTTCTGGGACTGCCCAGTTTGTTGGAAGATTGGTCATTGTCACAAGATGAAGTTATAAATCAATTCTAGATGAAACAGCAACGCAGTATCTCTTCCATAAGAATATTCTTACCATTGTGCTCCTCACCTCTGACTCAGGTTGCAATAGCATAGTTCTTACCCAAGAGCTTGCTAGAAGGACAGAATGTTGAATCTCACCCCAGTCCTACAGAATCAGAATCTATTTTTCATTCCCATGTGAACACACACACACACCACAGACACACAAACATAAAAGT